AGGGCCTCCTGGGGCTCTCGCAAGCTCCGTTTTCTGCTGCAACAGCCTCCTGCAAACCGAGCTCCATTTTTTTCTGACACAGGCATGGTGGGCCAGTCCATTGCTGTTTCTAGGGCGGCCCCATGGGCCAGATCTAACCCCCCCCCCATGGGCTGGAGTTTGACACACCTGTTCTAGAGCTTTTCAAGATGTTGTTCTCCCAATGTGTCACATACTAATGGCTTTTCTTTGGAAAATGCCCGGTATCTTCAAGGAACGTGTGTTTGCCTTATTTCTGATGCCCTTCCTGTTCAGTGGCTCTGTTTACACTGAGTCACCTCGGATTGCCTTCCGAGAAAACCCAGCCGAGGACTTCAGAGCGTTTACAGTAACTAGATCCCTGTGTTTGAAAAGGGCCATCCGACACTTAATTATTCAGTTCAGGGCTATCTGGCTTTTTCCCGAATAACATCCGTCTGCTTCTGGCATCCAGGTTAGGGCGGGGAAGAGAGCCGCTGCTTCCATCTTTACTCTTCGCTTGCAGTTTGCAAGAGGAAGGGAGAAAGTGGTTGAACGAAGCTAGTAATCAGATTCCCACAACGGATGAACGGCTGCAAAAATTGACGGAGGTAACAAAGACGGCTAAATCAACGGCTTTGGGCGGGGGGAAGCACAATTACTTTTAGTTTCTGCTTGGAAACCACTTCTGGACTTTGTGCTTGAGGTGGGGGAAAAATCGAAACTTTGATTTGCGGTTTGCCAATCAGATAGGTCTGCTGTTATAGAAATGGCTAGTTTATATTACTATGGAAAAGTAAAAAAAGTGGAGTTTTTGATGCTATTATCTGCACCAAAGGAAGTCGGAAGTCAATGGCTTTCTTTTTTTCCTTTTGCCCTCCACTTTTCCCTTCCCTTTTCCCTCCCTTACTTTCCCATTTTTCCTTTTGCATTTTATTAATACTTTTTAAATAAATAAATTATTTATTAATTAAAATTAATAATTCATTAATGAAAGCAATAAATAATTAATTAATAAATAATTTTATTACTTACATTGATTGTTATTAATAATATTTTTTATCATTTATTATTATTTTCTATCTTCTATTCTATTCTTTCTATCTATATAAAAAAGGATGTATGTATATTTATGTATGTACTTTGTTTTTCAGAGTATAAGACGCACCAAGATTTTGAAGAGGCAAATTTAAAAAAAAGTTTTTGCACTCTGCAGACCTCCCCAAAACGGCCCATTTTTGGCAAAAAGGGACCTGTTTTTTTTGTCAAAAAAGGGCATGCATAGCCTTATAGCAGAGGTTCCCAAACTTGGCAACTTTAAGACTTGTGGACTTCAATTCCCAGAATTCTCCAGCCAGCTGGCTGGAGAATTCTGGGAGTTGAAGTCCACAGGTCTTAAAGTTGCCAAGGTTGGAGACCACCTTTGCTGGCTGAGGAACTCTGGGAGTTGAAGTCCACAGGTCTTAAAGTTGCCAAGTTTGGGAACCACTGCCTTATAGGGACGTTTATAGATTTCTCCTGGGGGCTGGGCTGGGCCAAAAACGAGCAAAAAATGGCCCCGTTTTTTGTCAAGAAAAGGACATGCATAGCCTTTAGGAGGCTTCTAGAGTGCTCCTGGAGGCTGGGGGGGGCAAAAACGAGCAAAAAACAGACCATTTTTCTCTCAGTTTTGCCCTCCCCAGCCCCCAGGACCACTCTGGAAGCCTCCTAAAGGGTATGCATGGCCATTTTGAAGGGGGTGGGGTTTCAGGAGGCCAAAAATGCTGTATTCAGTCTGTAAGACGATCCCAGATTTTCACCCTCTTTTTTGAGGAAAAAAGGTGCATCTTATACTCCAAAAAATACGGTATATATGTATGTACTGTATGTTCCAGCATAACTTTGGAATGCCTTGAACAATTTCAACCAAACTTGCTACATAGGTGACTTACCCTCTGGAGACAAATACTGGGGGGAGCGGGAGGGGTAAGACACCCCTAGTGTGTGTGTGTCTGTGTCTGTGTCTGTGTTCCAGCATAACTCTGGAATGCCTGGCCCATTAAGGAAAGCTAAGTGACCAATGGAGAAGCACTTGATGGATTTAGGGCAAAGTGCCAGGATCGTAGGCAAGGCAGAAAAGAGGAGGGGGCAGGGATGATGGGCGTGGGAGTAGGGAAAAAAAACCTCTTCCCAATGGCTTCCTGTCAGATAAACACTTCAACATCTATACATACCCTGGTTATCAGCTAGTAAACTAATTTTAAAAAAAGAACGTAGCTAGTAATTGGGCTCTACCACGAGGAAGGGTATATATTACTATTGCTTTCATTGCGTGATGAGATTTAAAGGTTGAGCCTGTGAAATTGCCACGAGAACACTAATGACAGGTGAAATTTCCTTTACAAGATCTGGTGGCGTAAATGCCGCGAGATCACAGACCCTGAAAGTCACTCAGGAATAAGAGGCCCGGGGATAGGCGGTGTGTTTTGTGATCCCCATCCAGAGAAGACGGGCTCAAGTCGGGGGGGCATGGTTTTAAAATTTTTGTGAGTCTTGCAAAGCATCTTGACAGATGATGGTTTAGTAAGGGGCAAAAATGAGAAAACGTGATGGAGCAGGAAGGGAGAAGGCTTACGGTTTTGATGCTTCTGTTTAAGAAGTTCACTTAAAAAAAAATGACCTCTTGAAGCTGTCCTCCAGATCCTATCTGGAAGATGTACTGAAAGGCTTAATACATGCCCGGACCCATAATTGTCTCACCCCAAAATATTCTGACTTCAGGAAAAATTGATTTCCGTATAGCAATAGCATTAGCACTTAGACTTATATACCGCTTCACAGTGCTTTCCAGCCCTCTCTAAGTGGTTTACAGAGCCAGCTTTTTGCCCCCAACAATCTGGGTCCTCATTTGACCAACTTCGGAAGGATGGAAGGCTGAGTCAACCTTAAGCCAGTCAGAATTGAACTCTTGGCAGTTAGCAGAGCCTGCAAGACTCCTTTCTAGCTATTGCACATGGAGGGAGGGAGGGAAGGNTTCCCTATTCCCTCTTCTCTTCTCTTCTCTTCTCTTCTCTTCTCTTCTCTTCTCTTCTCTTCTCTTCTCTTCTATACCCTCTTCCCTCTTCCCTTCTCCTCTCTTCCCTATTCTCTATTCCCTATTCCCTCTTCTCATCTAATTATTATTCCCTTCAAACTAACTATCCCTAAAAATGCAAACTTGATGCTTCGTTGCCACTATATCTGCTCGTATATGTTGCACTATTTACGATTCAATATTCTATTCATATAACTCTTATCTATGTCTGTCCATGGGGCGGCTCCAATCAGCCTCCATAAATTCCTCCGGAAGGTTTAAATTGACAGGAACCTTTCAAGACATATTTTGAGCCCCCCATTTCAGCATTTGCATGGTGCCCAAACTGAAAAAATAATGAATCGGGAGATTTTACCCAGATTCAGGTAGCCTGCGCAACGTCTCCCATCCTTGAAATATGAAAATAAGAGGATAAGCTCCTTGTCTGGAAGCAAAAATATTCCCTAATCTCATTTGGCATGTGCCAAATCTCATCTCGGACATTTGAAAATCCTTTCTCCTGTGAAGTAAAACCCAGGTTAAGCATCAAGAGAGACTCTGGTGCATTTTTAACCCGTCAGTAGCTTGAAGAAACGGTGGTTTCACTCTACATCTTCAATTTCAAGTTTTTGTTCAGGGGGAGTGAAGCTGGAGACCACAACCCTCACTCCTGGAAGACCTCCAGGTGTTGGGATAGGATAGGATAGGAATAAGAATAGCACAGCATAGCATACCAGAATAGAATAAAGGACCAGAAAGAATAAAGTAGAGTAGAATAGAATAGAACACGGAACACAGAACAGGTTACAGAATAGAATAGATTACAAGAATGGAATGGATTGGAATGGAATGGAATACAAAAGAGTTTGGAAGAGAAGAGAACAGAAATCAGAATAGAGTAGAATAGAGTTGAAGAGAAATGAAAAGAGAAAAGAAATTGAAAGAGAAGAGAAATCAGTGGAGCGGAGTAGAGTAGAATACGGAACATGGAACAGGTTACAGAATAGAATAGATTACAAGAATGGATTGGAATGGAATACAAAATAGTTTGGAAGAGAAGAGAAATCAGAATAGAGTAGAGTTGAAGAGAACTGAAAAGAGAAGAGAAATTGAAAGAGAAGAGAAATCAGAGTGGAGTGGTGGAGTAGAGTAGAGTAGCAGAGTTGGAAGGGATCTTGGAGATCTTCTAGTCCANAGCCAAGGTCACCCTTTCTCTTTGCACCTCTGCACCTGACCGGACCTGGATGGGTGGAAGCTGTCAGAATGGCAGTGGGAGATTGGACCATGGGATGGACCTGTGGGTGCGGGGGGCAGGATCTTGAACTTTCAACTGGGTGGGGAAAACCGGGAAGCTTTCAGATTCGGGTTTTCCCAGATATGCCAACATGGCTCTCTTCATCAATTGGAACTTTGAGCCATACTTTGCCTTGGACTCTTGATTTACTTTTGGATGCTCTTTGGAACCCTGACACTCGATTTCATTGAGGGCCACGTCAGGGTTGTGTTTGACCTGGGGGTGGAGACAACTCCACATCACGGGTGATCAAACTTTTGCGTTAGTTTGTTTTGCTAGCACTTTGCCAGAGAAAATGGAGCTCGTGAGGGCCGCGTGCAGCTCTCTTGGGCTCCTAGCTGCGGTGTTACCCTGCAGTGTTCTGTCAGCGAAAATGGAGCTCGTGAGGGCAGATATTGCCCTCCCAAGCTCCATTTTCGGCTGCGAGGCATCCTGCAGCCCTCTGCCAGCAAAAACGGAGTCCAGGAGGACCATGTGCTGCCGTCATGAGCTCCATTTTCACCGGCAGAGCGCTGCAGGGGAATGTTGCAGCTGAAAATGGAGCATGGAGCCCTCACAAGCTCCATTTTCACCAGCAGAGCACTGCAGGAGAACGTCGCAGCTGAAAACAGAGCATGTGACCCTCGCAAGCTTCATTTTCACCAGCAGAGGCACCACGAGCCTGTCATTCGCTGTTTCCAGGGCAGTTCCGTGTAAACATCCCATGGGCTGGATCCGGTCCCTGGGCCTTGAGTTTGACACCCTGCTTTAGATGTTGTCCAGCAGCCGGTTTGTTACCAGCTAGGTAACATCATCCCTGCATTGACTAGTTATGAACCATCTGCAGGAAAGTTCTGAGAACATCAAGAACTCAAACACCAGCGCTTTGCCAAGGAAAGATCTGGAAGGAAGGGGTGATGCCCTCCTTCGGCTCATTGGTACCCGGTCTTGTGAGTCTCTTTTCTTTGACGTTCTGATGTTCTTGTTTCAGTACAGCTGAAGGACACGGCTTGGCATGTTACGATGGAAGGACAGCACAACCACCCACACCTGGGAGACCAGAATTTGCTCTGCAAAGTGGCGAGCCCAGAATATCAGCATGACACACAAGTAAGCAGCCATTTTGAATTCTCTTTTGGGTATGAAGGTCATTCACGTCAGCAGCTGAAACAAAAAATGTATCCAGAATTAGGATTTAAGCATGTGTGTGTGTGTATTTCCCCCCTCTCTCTCTGTCTCTCTCTGTCTCTGTCTTTCTGTCTCTGTCTTTCTCTGCCTCTCTCTGTTTCTCTCTGTCTCTCTCTGTGTGTATGAGTCTCTCTCTCTCTCTCTCTCTCTGTCACTCTGTCTGTCACTCTGTGTGTGTGTGTGTGTGTGTGTATCTGTCAGTCTCTCTCTCTGCCTATCTCTGTTTCTTTCTGTCTCTGTCTCTCTGTGTTAGTCTCTCTGTCTGTCTCGTTCTCTGTCTGTCTGTCACTCTATGTCTCTCTCTCTCTATGTCTCTCAGTCTCTCTCTCTCTCTCTCTGTTTTGTCTCTGTTTCTCTGTGTATGTGTCTCTCTCTGTCTCTCTCTCTGTCTCTCTATCAGTCTCTCTCTCTGTGTGTGTCTTTCTGTATCTCTTTATGTGTGTGTCTCTCTCTCCGTTTCTCTCTCCCCCTCCCTCCCTAGGGAAGAACAGTCAGTTTCCTAAATTGTCTATGGAGATTCTCGATCATCCAGACCATCGTTGTCCCAAAGGTGCTTTTCCAAAAGGCAAGTGGACTTCCTTGGATTTTTCCTTGGAGAGATTTCGCTTCTTATCTTAAGAAGCTTCTTCAGTTCTTGGATGAAGAACCTCTTGGATGAACTCCTTGAACTGAAGCAGCTCCTTGGATGAGAAGTGAGACATCTTCAAGGGGAAAAAAACCCAGGGATGTCCAGTTGCCTTTTGGAAAAAGAACCTTTGCATACCAACCTTGGCAACTTCGAGACTTGTGGAGTTGAAATCCGCAAGTCTTAAAAATGGCTAAGGTTGGAGACCCGTGTCCTAGATTGTATTTGATCAGGAGTTCCTCTATCATGTATCACATCAATTCTATCTTAACACCTTATATGGATGAGTCCCAACCCTGCTGTGATGTTGCCTTAGAAAGAGCTGGACGTCTCTTTTCCCACCCGCTTTCTTTCCCATTCTTGGCCAAGTTCTGTTGAGTGGCCACCATGTTTTCTTCATTTCTCTAAGGTCGGTTCTTCTCCTATGTGTTTCATTCACAGCTCTTTGGTCCCTGGATGTCATAACACCTGCAATTGTGCCTTTCTGGGTTGAAACACAACAACAACACTGTTCTTTCTCTATTGATTGATGGGTGACATACCATCAGAAGTGGTATTCAGCTGATTCAGACCGGCCCGAACCGGTAGTTGAAATTGCAGGTGGGCCCACCCACCAGCCCCAGCTGTATGCCGTCCTATTTAGGCACATTTTCAAGCCACACACATGCGTGCAAGCTATGTGTGCAATCAAAGCGCATGTGCGGAAGGAGCACGTTCGTTTTTGCAAATTGGTAGGGAAAGAAAGGGACGCTGTGGCTCAGTGGCTGAGATGCTGAGCTTGTTGATCAGAAAGGTCAGCGGTTTGACAGTTCGAATCCCTAGCGCCGCATAACGGAGGGAGCTCCCATGACTCGTCCCAGCTTCTGCCAACCTAGCCGTTCGAAAGCATGTAAAAAATGCAAGTAGAAAAATAGGAACCACCTTTGGTGGGAAGAGTGTTCTGTGCGTCTTTGGCATTGAGTCATGCCAGCCACATGACCATGGTGACATCTTCGGACAACGCTGGCTCTTCGGCTTTGAAACGGAGATCAGCATCACCCCCTAGAGTCAGGAACGACTAGCACGTATGTGCGAGGGGAACCTTTACTCTTTTAAGTGAATGCCATCCCTGCATGCCATCCATTTGTTGTCTATAGCTGAATTATTCAGCTTCATTGACCCCGAAAACACCCGTGTTAGTTGTGAACTGATTGTTGCTGAGAAGTTGTGCAAAAACCATGTACACATGGAGAGTTTTTGGCTGATCTACTTGGGCCCAGCTATGGAATTTGCACCAACGATCAGTTGCCTGTAAATGCGGGGGTGGAGGGTTTGTGCCCAGCCCCCTTCTCTAAGGCAGCAATTTGTCTTATTAAGTTGTTTAATAGTAATTGATCTCCTTGAATTAGCCGAGTTACGTTGTGAGCAATTAGGGTTAATTACAGCCTCATTTGGCAGAATGGCACTTGTGTAATTATTCCACGAATGAGATTAGGATGTGTTCTTACACAACAGGCATTGAAGAGGGCCTACTGTTATTTGTAATAACATGGTTAAGGGTAATTATTGGTTGGTAATTATGGCTTCTCGTTGGCTTGACTCTTATTGTCAACACTGCCCCCCCCACATATATATGTATTATATACCATATTTTTCAGATTATAAGACATACCTTCTCTCCCCTCCCCCTCCAAAAGAGTGTGGAAACGTTGGTGTGTCTTATACACCGGTGCGTCTTATAGTCCGAAAAATACGGTATATATTCTCAACCCTTCCCCCCCCCCACACACACACACGTTGAGAATATATACCGTATTTTTCGGACTATAAGACTATAAGAGTCAAGCCTACGAGAAGCCAGACTTATCAACCAATAATTACCCTTAACCATGTTATTAGAAATAACAGCATGCCCTCTTCCATGCCATGTTTGTGTGTCTGTTGTGTAAGAACACATCTATCTATCTATCTATCTATCTATCTATCTATCTATCTATCTATCTATCTATCTATCTATCTATCTATCTCTACTATATCTATCTATCTATTTATCTATCTATCATCTATCTATCTATCTATCTATCTGTCTGTCTGTCTGTCTGTCTCTGTCTATCTATCTATCTATCTATCTATTTATATCTATCTATCTATCTCTACTATATCTATCTATCTATCTATCTATCTATCTATCTATCTATCTATCTATCTATCTATCTATCTATCTATCTATCTATCTCTACTATATCTGTATCTCTATCT